ACGTGGAGCGGTCGACGCTGCGTGGTTTTCACGCTGCCACCGCCTGTTCCCAGAACCCCCCCCCCCAATCCCGTGCCCCCCACCCCCTCCCCCCCCCTCGCGGTCTCTGCTGGCCGTGCTCGCGGTCGCCCGGAGTGGGATCTGTGGACACGGCGGCGGTGAAACAAACCCGAGGGGCTCGGCGAGAACAGGAGGAGAAGGAGCCGGGGCAGTCGCTGGTCCTCTGTGTGGAAGGTGCCATCCTCCTGCTGCTGCTGCCACTGCTGCTGTCACTGCTGCTGTCACTGCTGCTGCCACTGCTGCTGTCACTGCTGCTGCCACTGCTGCTGCCACTGCTGCTGTCACTGCTGCTGTCACTGCTGCTGCCACTGCTGCTGCCACTGCTGCTGTCACTGCTGCTGCTCACTGCTGCTGCCACTGCTGCTGTCACTGCTGCTGTCACTGCTGCTGTCACTGCTGCTGTCACTGCTGCTGTCACTGCTGCTGTCACTGCTGCTGCCACTGCTGCTGTCCACTGCTGCTGTCACTGCTGCTGTCACTGCTGCTGCCACTGCTGCTGTCACTGCTGCTGCACTGCTGCTGTCACTGCTGCTGTCCACTGCTGCTGTCACTGCTGCTGTCACTGCTGCTGTCACTGCTGCTGTCACTGCTGCTGTCACTGCTGCTGTCCACTGCTGCTGTCACTGCTGCTGCCACTGCTGCTGTCACTGCTGCTGTCACTGCTGTCACTGCTGCTGTCACTGCTGCTGCCACTGCTGCTGTCACTGCTGCTGCCACTGCTGCTGTCACTGCTGCTGTCACTGCTGCTGTCACTGCTGCTGCCACTGCTGCTGTCACTGCTGCTGCCACTGCTGCTGTCACTGCTGCTGCCACTGCTGCTGTCACTGCTGCTGCCACTGCTGCTGCCACTGCTGCTGCCACTGCTGCTGTCACTGCTGCTGTCACTGCTGCTGCCACTGCTGCTGTCACTGCTGCTGTCACTGCTGCTGCCACTGCTGCTGTCACTGCTGCTGCCACTGCTGCTGCCACTGCTGCTGCCACTGCTGCTGTCACTGCTGCTGCCACTGCTGCTGTCACTGCTGCTGCCACTGCTGCTGTCACTGCTGCTGCCACTGCTGCTGCCACTGCTGCTGCCACTGCTGCTGCCACTGCTGCTGTCACTGCTGCTGCCACTGCTGCTGTCACTGCTGCTGCCACTGCTGCTGCCACTGCTGCTGCCACTGCTGCTGCCACTGCTGCTGCCACTGCTGCTGCCACTGCTGCTGCCACTGCTGCTGCCACTGCTGCTGTCACTGCTGCTGCCACTGCTGCTGCCACTGCTGCTCATTCCACTGCTGCTCATTCTTCTGCTGCTGTCACCGCTGATGCTACTGCCACTGATGTTACTGCCGCTGCTGAATAATCATCGACTTGGCACGGTGCTCGTACTGCCATAATCACGTTCACGCACATTGGTTCCCCGTAATAGCCTCAGCAGGCACTCGCTGGGACTAAGACAAAACGAAGATCCCCCGTGTAGCCTGCACAGACTGCAGGGGCAAGTGCTGTTAGCGAGCATGGTGCACCGGAGGGGTGGATGGCCGGCGCCACGCCCGGCCGCCTTTGTCTCCCCAACGCTGATGTTTACGCACCGCGCCAGCCGTTCATTTACGGCCGAGTTGACCTCGGGGTCAGCGGTTCAGATATATTCGCCACCGTTATTGGTTCTTGAGCGAGAATTGACCTCGGTAGCCCAGCGCGCTAACCACTGCGCCTCCGCTCCCCGCGCACGTACTCCCACGCGCTCTCTCTCTCGCGCTCGCCACAGGGAGCCGCGCTCTCCCCGCACGCTCGCAGATGTTCCGTCAGATCCTCGCAGCCCCACAATCATCCGCGCTCTCTCCTCGCGAAATCCGTCTTGGCGCTATCGCGCGCCGTGACAAATGAGCGCCGCGCTGTCTCCCGCCGCCGCCGCCACACCGCGCCGTTTTGTTTATTTTATGCGTTATTTACAAATTGCATCGACGACGACAACAACAACAACAACGGCGGCGAAAAGACAGCGGGACGGGAGCACGGCCCCCCCCTGCCCCTCCTGCCGCATCCGCTGCAAGCTGGGACAGACAAACACAATGATGGGGGGCCGGTGGGGAGGGGCGGCGGTCAGGAGGGGGGGCGGTGGGGAGGGGGGGAATGGAGAAGGAGGAGAAAGGAAAGGGGCAGCCGGATGGTGGAGCGACATTGCAGGATGTGGGGGGTGGGGGGGGGGAGTCAGAACGAGTCGACGCTCACCGTTCGGTGGCGTTGCCGTGCGTGTGGGTTCAGGTTTAGTGGCGGGTGGTTGCTGTGGTGGTGGCGGCGGTGGTGTTTGTGGTGGTTGCTGTGGTGGTGGTGGTGTTTGTGGTGGTCGCGGTGGTGGTCGCAGCGGTGGTCGTATTTGTTGTGGTCGTGTGGAGGCTTTGTTTCAGGTGGGGCCTGCGTTTCCGCTGCTGGCGGTGGCGGTGATGGCGGTGGTTGTGGTGGCGGTAGTGCCCGTGTGTTTAAGTTGGTGGCGGGCCGCGCCAGGCATCTGCGGCTGCTCGCCTCGTCGCCATGGCGAGCTAATCTCTGTTTTGACAATGTGTGCTCGCCTGCCGCTTGCGCAGACTTTATCTGCGTGGTGTTTTGAGACGATGGTTCTGCGCAGACACCCCTGGTATTAAACAAACACGTCCCTCCTCCTGCGTCCCGTCCGGGACACGCGCCGTTTCAGCCTGCGGGCGCTTTGGCGCAGTTGCCGAGAGCGGCCGCATCTGTACGCCGAGCAGGGCAGGAACGAGCGGCGCTCTGTCGAAGTACGTAGTAGATGGCGCGAGGTTGTGAGGCGCTCTGAAACACCCCGGGTGTAATGGGCGCTCTCTCGAAAAAAAACGAAGTGCTAACTTGGGGAGAAGAGACGGCGATGATGGGAGGGAGGGAATTCCAACGTGGAGAGGAGCAGTGCAAGGGAAGAAGTGTGTGAGTTAGTGGGTGGGTGAGTGAGTGGGTGAGTGAGTAGGCAGGTGAGTGGGTGAGTTTGTGAGACGGTGAGTGAGTGAGTGGGTGAGTGGGTGGTGTTGTGACCTGCAGTGTGGTGGTTGAACACCGTACGGTGGATAAGGCGACACGCTCGGTGTCTGATCGCGACCGAGTCCTCAAATGCGTGGAGGAATCAATGATTGACATTCACGGGAACGGTCACCATGGCAGTAGCGATAGGCGAGCGATAAGGAGGCGACGGACCGCCGGTGAGCGACTGGAGGGAGTCGGCGCTGGACCATCAGTGGCCCCTGATGTTGGGTCTGCACGTGAGCACAAGGTCACGGGTGGGCGTGCGTGCCAGGCTAGGTGCGGGTGACGTCTGTGCGTCGCAGCTGCCGGGGAGGGTGGTGGTTGCCTCTCACCACGGTTGAAAGGGAAGAGGGACGTCACTTGAGATGGTGGAGGGGGGGGGGAGTGGGGGGGGGGGGAGTGATGGGGGGGTGGGGAGGAGGGGCGGGGTGGGGGGGGCAGCCCCCGGCAGCCCCCTGCAGTTTAAACAAACGTAGCAGCACTGCTGCTGCGGGTCACGTGACAAGTGCTGCGATTGCCTGTGTGTGGTCGAGCAGGGTTCAGGACCCCCACAGGGGGTCACTCGTCTGTGACTCGACCCGTCATCCCACTGGGGTCGATAAAATAGGTACCAATCTGTGGGGAACTCAACAATGGGTGTCCTGTAGATAGACTGGCCCCTGCCATCGGAACGTGGAATTGCCACCACTGTCTTTGCCGGGCTGTAAGCAAGAAAATTATTAGCCAATGCCTCAAATGGATGAATGTTGAGATGCCACTTGACTGATGGCATCCAATCGCAGGGCGAGGGTCACAGCAACAGCTGCGTGTAAAATCGTGGGCAGCAGTGACCTCTCATCGTCGTCGTCGTCGTCATGGCGCTCTTCGTCAGCAGCCACGATCCAACCACTGCTGGATGACGGCCTCCCCAAGCTGCTGCCACCTCTCGCAGGCTTGCGATGTGACGACCCATCTAGCACTGGCGCACGGGCGGAATCCCTCGCCCCATCTCCTCGGTGGAGGTCCCCTGGTTGCCCTCTCGGGCCGTGCCACGGCAACTCCGTTCTGGAGGAGGGTAGAGGTTCGTCGAGCCAATTTCATTTTTGGGTACGCAACGTGGTGGTGCCTTTGGCACAAATCTGCCACTCAAAGCATCGTCGTCGCCGCATTAATATTAAAATGTAAACAATTGTATACAATGAGAGAAAAATCTACTATCTATAGTTACCGCACGAACGAATGAGTGACTCTCTCTCACCCACACACACACGGTGTAGCCGGCATTGGCCACACACCCCAGTGCCAAACATCATCTGCAGTTCACTCGGTTGGGATCACACGCAGCAGCAACGGTGCCCCTCCTATGGCGAAAACTGGGCAGGACTCTCCTGAAACTCGTCCTGAGACTCGGCGAGGCTTTGCCGGGTGAACGAGCTCGTGAACGCCTCACGTGAATGAGCGAGCACGTCACGTGAACGTGAACGAGCGAGCACGTCACGTGAACGAGCTTGCGTGCACGTCACGTGAACGAGCGAGCACGTCACGTGAACGAGCTTGCGTGCACGTCACGTGAACGAGCTTGCGTGCATGTCACGTGAACGAGCGTGCGTGCACGTCACGTGAACGAGCGTGCACGTCACGTGAACAAGCGTGCGAACGCCTCACGTGAACGCGCGAGCGTGCAAGTCACGTGAACGAGCGTGCGTGCACCACGGCTACGTTAAGAAATGCATTGGGAGTGACACAGACACTGCTTTTTTAATGTCTGCCTTGATATTTATCTAATAAAGCGTGGTCCGTTATGGGAGTGGCGCCTTGGCTCCCCCATGTCTCCGTGCTGCCGTGTCTCCTTCTCCCCGTGTCTCCCCCCGTGTCTCCCCCAGGTCTGTCTCCAGGTATCCATGAGATGCGGATGAGTTGAGCACTAACGACCGCCGTGTCTCTGTCTGCAGAGGAGCTGAGCGCCAGCGAGGTTCCGCTGGAGCGATGCCGCGTTCGCAGTCGGCGCCAGCTGCTGCCGGGGGTCACGTGGGGGCCCTACCCCGGGGTCATGCGGCACGGGGGGCACGGGGGGCACGGGGGCGACGGCACGGAGGTGACTGCCTGCACCCACACCCCGCACGTGTGTGGGGTGTGGTATTGTGTCCGTGTGGCCGCGCGTCCGTCTGGCTGCGTGTCCGTCTGGCGGTGTGTTTGGGGTTCTGCCTCTATGTGGTTGTGTGTGTGTGTAGTTGTAGGTGTGCAGTTGTTTGTGTGTGCAGTTGTAGGTGTGTGTGTGGTTGTGTGTGTGTGTAGTTGTAGGTGTGTGTGTGGTTGTGTGTGTGTGTAGTTGAAACATTTAGGCTGGCCTGCCTACGATCCATCCTGGGTTTAACCAGGCTGGATTGTGTGAGGAGCTCACAAATCCTTGAAAGATCTGGGCAAAGTCCCATCAGTGAGCTCCTCCGGCAGGCAAGGCTGCGTTGGCTGGGTCATGTAGCCCGCATGCCCAGCCACCGCATGCCTAAACAGCTTTTGTTCGGCCGGATCGAGGGGGCTAGACGGGCGCGGCACGGGCTGGAGAAGAGATGGAGTGATGTGGTACAGGAGGACGTGGAGCTGAGTGGACTTGCCGATGACTGGTACCAGCGGTGTCAAGATCGGCCTCAGTGGAGGAGGCTCGTGAAGGACGCTACTGGGCAGTTGGAGGCAGTCGCCCTCCAACAACAACGGAGGGCGGAGGAGCGACGCTCACAACAACGAGCGGAGCGCCGGGTGGCTAAAGCACAGCAAGTTGGCACAGTAGGGGGCACAGGTGGTGCATCAGCCAGTCATCTCGGTTATCTCGGTCAGTCGACCCGTGGCACCTGGGTCTGCCCCGTGACCTCCTGCCAGCGGGCTTTCGACACTTCACGTGGCCTCAAGGTGCACTTGGCCTGGCACAAGCATCGTGGTGACGTCACCGCCACTTAGTGGCGAATGGCGGTTGTTGTTGTTGTTGTGTAGTTGTAGGTGTGTGTGTGTGTAGTTGTAGGTGTGTGTGTGTTTTTGTGTGTGTGTGGTTGTGTGTGTTTGTTTTTTGATGACGGTTGCTGAGGACTTCCCCAGAATGCCAAGCAGCCAGCAACAATCAGCACTCTTGAAGGTGTAATTGTTAGAGTGTAACACATTTCTTGATTTGAGTGAGGTTGTTATAAGAACCTGGGAAGAGAGAGACGATGATGGGAGGAGGGAATTCCAGAGTGCAGCAGTGTGAGGGAATGAGCAGAGAAAGAAGCGTTGTGACCTGCATTGCGGTGAGTGGACGAGTGGGTGGACGGGTGAGTGAGTGGGTGAGTGTTGTGTGATGCACAGTGTGGTGGTGGAACACTCTGTAGATATAACAGGCTCGTCTGGCACCCACAAGACTCGTTGAGTCTCAATCACGGCCGAGCCGGCCCCCCTGGGGCCCCCCCAGGGCCGGGGCCCCCCCAGGGCCGGGGCCCCCAGGGCCCCCCCGGGGCCCCCCAGGGCCCCCCCAGGGCCCCCCCGGGCCGTGTGCGTAGATCTCTGCTCGATGGAGGCGGCGGTCCGATCCCCGCGGTGCGAGTCCCGAGCGCAGGCCGAGTTGGCACGAGGCGCAGCGCAGCTGTAACCCGGCGAGCGTGCCGCGCGGGGTGACGGGGCCGACCTGCGGGGGGGTGGGTAGAGGGAGGGGGCTCTCTGTCTCGCTCTCCCTTTCGTTGTGTGTCTCCCTTTCGTGCCAAGAATGCGATTCCTCCGTAATCTTTTCCACTGGATAGCCGCGCTGGAGTTATCATTACAACTGTGGCCCTTCTCACGGTGATAGCCGGGTGCTGGCTCGTGGCGGGCGGGCTGGCGGGCTGGAGAGAGAGGGAGGGAGGGAGAGCGTCGCATCGGCCAGAGATAAATAAATCTGCGTGTTTTTGTCGTTTGTGTCTGTTACCCCCGCTCACCCGATCTAAGCAGCGACCCCACCCCCAAAAAAAAACGCTCACAGAATCTCTCGCTCGCCGCGCGACCCCTCGCTCGTTCCCGCCGAGTTGTCCGTGCGTCGCCCCGCGGCAGCGGCGGCGGGGCGTTCGGCACGGAGAGGGGAGGAGCGGCGAGGAATCCGCGCCATGGGCGCGGCTGTAAGTTTGCGAGGGCGGGGGGGGAGTGGAGGCCCGCGCGGATCTCTCTGTGACTAACTCTGCCCGGCCGCTATCAATTATTTCATTCTATTATTCTGATTTGGCTTCGGAGCGGTGGTGGCGGGTTGCGGGGGGGGGGGGTAGATAGGGATAAATGTGGCCGATAACGAGGGAGACGGGACGGTCCGTCCGCCTGCCCGCCGGGGTCTGGAGTTCGTCATCGCCAGCGCAGGGGGCTCACACGTCCGCCACGCCGGCGGGGTCCCCTTGGCGGGGTGCCTGCCGACTACCGGAGTCCGATAGTCGGGTCTGATCGCCGTGGTCTGGCTCACGGGGTCTGGCTCACGGGGTCTGGCTCACGGGGTCTGGCTCACGGGGTCTGGCTCACGGGGTCTGGCTAACGGGGTCTGGCTCACGGGGTCTGGCTCACGGGGTCTGGCTAACGGGGTCTGGCTCACGGGGTCTGGCTCACGGGGTCTCGCTAACGGGGTCTGGCTCACGGGGTCTGGCTCACGGGGTCTGGCTCACGGGGTCTGGCCAAGGCCGTCCGAAGGCGTCGGCGCTATCGGTACGTGGCTGGCGCGTCGCCGCGTCTGGAGTCGTGGAACCCGGGCACCGTTGAGAACCGGCGAGCAGACCTTGAGGAGAGCGATGCAGCGCTGTGGTCAGAGTCACGGGACCGAGGAGGAGGGGGAGGAGCAGGAGGAGCCGCTGCTCATGGGAATTCAGAATGGAGCTACGGAGTAAAGCGGGGGGGGGGGGGGGGGTGTTAGGTGGGCGGAGGGGTGTGGTGGAAATCAGAGGGAATTTAGGAGGGGGGGGCAGGGAGGCAGGCAGAGGGGGGGTGTGGGTGGGGGGTGGCCTTGGTACCACACCAGCTGATAAGGGCTCCTCTCTCCTCCCACTGAGCTAAAGGTGGGGTGCGGAGAGAGAGGAGAGAAAGCATGAGACACACACGTACAAAGACAAAGGTCCCCTGTATAGCTGTTAGCGAGCACCTATTAAGACCGGCTACTATCTCCGTCCGCCTTTGTCTCCCCAGTGGTGATGTTTACACACCACACCAGGTACTCACTTGAGGCTAAGTCGACCTAGGGGAGGCCCAGCACCGGTTCATATAATCGTCACTGGTGTTGGCCATGAGCGGGAATAAAACTCTGGTCACTGGGTTCATAGAACAGGCAGTGGCGAGTTGACCACACACATACATACAAAGACAAAGATCCCCCATATAGCCTTAACAGACTGTAGGGGCAAGTGCTGTTAGCGAGCACCTATGAAGGCCGGAACGGTACACGAGGGGGTGGGTGGCCAGCACCACGCCCGACCGCCTTTGTCTCCCCAGTGGCGATGTTTACACACCGCACCAGGTACTCATTTGAGGCTGAGTCGAGCTAGGGGAGGCCCAGGACCAGTTCAGATAATTGTCACTGGTGTTGACCGTTAACCGCTACACTACCGCTCCACCCACACATACATACCACACTCACTCATACACTCCCACACTCGCACAGGCACGCATATACACACGTGCCGCCACGGACACAAAATCATCTCCGTAAGAAACCAACAAAAACATTTCCTCAGAGCAACAGATCTGTGGCGTTATCTCTCACTGCACTAATGCATCTCGCTCCACCCACTCTGCCCGCTCCGCCCACTCTGCCCGCTCCACCCACTGACGGTGGTGGTCGTGGCAGCGGTGGCGGCGAAGGTGGTGATGGTTCCTTTAAAAGGAGTCCACGTTTTGCGTGCACAGGGAAGGAAGGGCATAACCGCGGCCGAGACGACCCCGGAGCTTCGTGCGGAGCGACAGACCGGCCAGCTTCGACGCGGCGGCGTTACGCGGCTGATGAAGAGACAATGCCGCTCGACTGATTCGGAGCGAGATCTCCGCTTCCAAACCGGAGTTTGTCATAAGCACACTGCCCAGGTTCAGAAACTTCCCTCCATAATTGCCCCCCTCACTCGTGGGGTGGAGTATTTGATGACATGAAGTCCCGAAGCAGGTGCTTTGTTTTTGTGAGACTGATGGTCAGGCTCCCATCCCGAAGTAGCACGCGTCAGGTTCAGCAGCAGAGTCTTCTCCATTCTGTCTGAGAGTGAGCAGTAATTATACTACCAATCATCGACCATTTTGGGAGCCATTCCTGGACCGCACCGCGGAATCGATGTACCTGTACCAGATGTACCTGTGCCAGATGGAAACTCCTCCGGTACAGCCATGGAAAGTGTCTCAAATTACGGAGGCAGAAAATGAGTTAAATAATGTGGCAGCCAGAGGACACCCCTGTCGCACCCCTAGGTGAACTGCAAATGCAGCTTTACACGTGCCTGCCCACCATTATGGTCCTCATTGACTGTGAGCAGAGGATCAGGGACCCCGAAAGTACAAAAGTGGTGGTGGTTAAAAACTAATTTCTTTAGAACTGATGTTTGTGTTTCGTTTGTTGTCCTTCCCTGCACCTCCGATTAGCACGGTTGGCTACGTACAGTGCAAAAGACGTTCAACATGCATATATGGTGGTTGCGGGAGTGGCAGTGATCTTGTTGTTGGTAGCGGTGGCGGTGGTGGTGCTGGTGGTGGTGTTGGTGTTGGTTGTGGCGGTGCTTAAGGGGTTGGCGGCAGTTGCGATAGTGGACGGTAGTGGCGGTGATAGTGGGTCATAGTGGTGGTGGCGGTGTGGGTGGTAGTGGGTGGTAGTGGTGGTGGTGGCGGTATGGGAGCGGTGGTGATGGTTGTACGCCTGTGTTTAGGAAGCGCTTTATTTAACGCACGGTTTCTGAGCACAGGCCCAAAACGTCAAGCGACTGGCAAACCAACAGCCACAACAATCTGTTGAGGCTGTATGGGGCATCTCTGTGCGCGAGCGTGTCTCGGTGTACATGTGGATGTATGCACGTACGTGTGTGTGTGTGTGCGCACCCGTGTTTGGATGTGCGTGCATTTATGTGTAATTGTGTGCGTTTGTGTACGATTGTGTACAATTGTGTACGATTGTGTGTGTGTGTGTGTGGTTGACATCTGTGCACGTGTTTATGGGGAACCGGTGGCGTCAGCAGTTAGTGCACTTTGCTACGAACCCAGAGACCTCAGTTCAACCGGCAGCCGACATCAGTGACGAATATCGATGACCACTTTTCTCAGTAATCTGTGAAGGCTCGGCGATGGACCCGTGCGTGTTTCCCGTTCTTTGTGTGAGTATATGAGAGTGCGTGAACAGCAGTTGTGGTGTGTAAACATCGCCATTGGGGAGACAAAGGCGGCCAGGCGTGGTGCTGGCCACCACACCCCTTCGTGTGCCATGCCAGCCTTCGTAGGCGCTCGCTAAAGGCACTTTAGCGAGCGCCTACGAGGAGCGGCGGTGCCGTGGTTGGCCCTCCCTGCTACCAACCCGGCGACCTTAATTCAATGTGCGGCGTGCGGTGTGCGGCGTGCGGAGTTCAGCGTGCGGTGTGCAGCGTGCGGTGTGCAGCGTGCGGTGTGCAGCGTGCGGTGTGCAGCGTGCGGTGTGCAGCGTGCGTCAACTACACGGGGGGGGGCATCTTTGTCTCGCGTGCGGTGTGCAGCGGGCGGCGCTGGCGCGCCTGCCGGTGCCGGGCGACTGCTGGCTCCGCGCGCTCGAGGTCACGGACGCGGAGGAGCGGAGCAACTGCGTCGTCTTTCGGAAAGGTCGGTCCCGCGCGTCACGTGACCGGGCAGCCCCCTCCTCCCACCATGGAGCACCCCCTCCCCTCCCCCCGCACCACCCACCCTCCTCCACCCCCTCCCCCAATCCCCTTCCTTTCTCACTTTCAAAGGACTCTTGTTTTCCGTGTCTGTCATAGTGAGGGAGGAGGGCTGGAGGAAGGGAGGAAGGGAGGAAGGGAGAGGAGGGTGTTTGTTTTGAGAGCTGTCTGCTGCGCTAGCACGAGGGCCGGGCCCTGATAACGCAGCAGCAGCAGCAGCAACGATCGCGGATCTCTGGGCCTGGAATCGTTGAGACATTATCAACGTTCATCACGACCCGAGGGGGTGAAGTCTAATGTACACTTTTTTAATCACTGGGGGGGGGGGGTATGACGGGAAAACGTACAATGTACCCTGTGTCGGGGTCAAGAGGTCATCGTGGCCAGTGCCGTCATCGCCTCCTTCCACCTGCCAGGTGCCGCATTCGTTCAAACAAAATAACTGAGCGGGCGATTCTCCTCCTTCGCATGCGTGGGGTGCCACGGTGGCTATGAGATGTTATCTACCTCGCCTGGTATACAGGAGGTCGTGGGTCCGATGCCGACCCTGACGCCTGTTGTGAATTTGAAGTTTGAATGTTCTCTCTCCCCGTGGTTGCGTGGATTTATCTCCAGGCCCTCCACGTTTAGAATCAACATGCGTTGGCTGCCATACATTCCCACGTGATGATGAGAAGCCACTTCGTTGAGCTGTCGTTTGGGGCCAGGTCGCTTCTGAAAAAGAGCCAAGATAACTCAGTGGGGCCTTATCTGGCAAAATAAAAATAGAAGTAAATCGTAAAGAATATCTGATCCTCCATACCTAGAACAATAAAAGTGTGTCTGTACACAGCCCATCAGCCACCGCTGCCTTCTGGGAGTGTGCAGTTTCGGTCGTCTTGGTGTAACCCAGGCAACGGTTTTCGACATTCAGCATCTCATCGGCATTTCTCACTCGCCAATTGCACGCCGCCACGAGTGAGGAGCGCGCTGGACTTGCAGTCCAGATTTTTATCTCCCGGCGCGGCAGTTGTAGCAACGGGGCAGGCTGCATCTCCCCAGCGGTGTAAATGGGTCACACCACAGATAGCCGACCGGCAAGCCGTGTGCGGTGGGGTAAAGTCTGGGAACTGCCACCTCTTCCAAGGCAGTCTGGCAAACGTGGAAGTGAGAATCAAAGTGATCTGCTGCTGCTGCTCAAATGAGCTCGGTGCTCATCTTTTGTTCATAGCCCTGAGCCAGTAGTGGATATTCCACATTCCCATGGCGGGGAATGACAAGAGTTGGTGAAACACTACTCTCTAGAGGGGCCCCCTAGAGCTGCCTGTAGTGCAGGCCGTTCCGCTAGCGGTGACGTGAGCAGGGAATTGCAGGGCTTCACCTTTACCCGCTTCGTCCGAGCGGTGTGGCGCGGTGTGGCACTGCGCGGCGTGGTGTTATTGTGCCCGCGGCACACCGCGCTCCGGCTTGCGATACCTAAGCCGCTGCGGCGGCAGGGCACGTTTCCCAGCGGCGATAAGCGGAGCTTGAGTCTGAAGTTTCTGCTGCTGCGTCCGTTCCAAAACAAACACAGAGAGTGACTGGAATTGTGCGCTGAATTCAGCGCTTTCCGGACTAAGAGGTTCACTCCTGTTTCCTTGATTTGACGCGGATAAGCCTAAGCTGCTCTTGTAAGAGGGGGCGCTCCGAGTTGTAAACCGGAGTCGTTACGAGGATTTTTTCACTGTTTTCTCTCCAAGCGTTGTTCGTTTTCTTTGGACGGCTGTCGCGAGCGATAGCCGGCGAGCGAGCAGCGCGGACCAACGGGCGCTCCACCCTCCACAGCGCGCTCACAGCAGCTCCCTCACCCAAACCCTCGCCTTGAACCCAAACCCTAGCCTTGAACCCAAACCCTAGCCTTGAACCCAAACCCTAGCCTCAAACCCCAACCCTAGCCTCAAACACAAACCCTAGCCTCAAAGCCTAGCCTCAGAACCCCAACCCTAGCCTCAAACACAAACCCTAGCCTCAAAGCCTAGCCTCAAACCCAAACCCTAGCCTCAAACCCAAACCCTAGCCTCGAACCCAAACCCTAGCCTCGAACCCAAACCCTAGCCTCAAACCCAAACCCTAGCCTCAAACCCAAACCCTAGCCTCGAACCCAAACCCTAACCTCAAACCCAAATCTCAACATCAAACCCAAACCCTGGCCTCAAACCCAAACCCTAGCCTTGAACCCAAACCCTAACCTCAAACCCAAACCCTAGCCGCAAACCCAAACCCTAGCCTCGAACCCAAACCCTAGCCTCAAACCCAAACCCTAGCCTCAAACCCAAACCCTAGCCGCAAACCCAAACCCTAGCCTCAAACCCAAACCCTAGCCTCAAACCCAAACCCTAGCCTCAAACCCTAACCTCAAACCCAAACCCTAACCTCAAAGCCTAGCCTCAAACCCCAACCTCAAACCCAAACCCTAGCCTCAAACCCAAACCCTAACCTCAAACACAAACCCTAGCCTCGAAGCGAAACCTAATGTCTAACCCTTACTCTGATCTCTAACCTTTTCCCTAACTTTGACTCTTACCAGTAACCCTAAACTCTACCCCTAATCCTAAACCAAATCTTAACCCAAACTCTCATCCTAACCCTAACCTCTGACCCTTGCCCTGAGGGAGAGGCAGCGGCGAGTGGCGGGGCGCAAGGAGACACCAGCCTGGGTGGCCTCAGCCAGCGTTTAGTCTGCCAAGGCCCCAGGCTGTAGGAGGAGGGGGAAGGGGGGGGCGACTCGTGCACGTGACCAAGTGTTAACGGCACCCCCCCCCCCACCCCCGTGACCCTCACCCTGCCCAACCCTCACCCTCCCTTGACTCTCACGCCCCCGCTGGTGAATTTGCACTGAGAATTATTCTCCCAGGGTAGAGAGGGGAGATGAGCTAGACGGGGAGCAGTGGAGGGAGGGGAGGGGGGGAGGGAGCATGGTGTAGGAGATGGAGGAGGCAGGGAGGGAGAGTAGGGAGGGAGAGGAGCGGGACCTGCTGTAGGGCAGGAGACAAATCTCTTTGGTTTGTGTGAGTGGGAGGAGAGAGCGAGTGGATGCCGTTGCGATGAGCCAGCAGCGGGAGATGCTGATAAGTGGATCACGTATCCCAGCGCGCAGAGGGAGGAGGCCAGGGGTTAAACGCTCCGCTCGCTGATAATGCTCGGCCCGAGTCAACAGCTCTTGCCCCCCCCCCCTCCTCTGTAAACCGTGGTCCCCTCCGTAACGAAGAGCCGGGGCCGCGGTTAATTGTCACGGTGGCTGGCCGTGCCACGTCATCTCTCTTGGGAAGGTGCGGAGGGGGGCGGTGAATCTGTGTCGCGATACCGTGAGTCGGCGTCACGGCCGTCACAGGTGAGAGGAGGGCCTCTTTGTCAGCGGACACCTGGGCCATGACAGCGAGACCTCGGGGCATGAGAATCCACTTCCAAAACAGCCCACGTGCCGTGACCCCTCCTTCCAACCCCTCACCCCGAGCCCTCACCCCTGAGCCCTCACCCCGACCCCTCACCCCGACCCCTCACCCCGACCCCTCACCCCGACCCCTCACCCCGAGCCCTCACCCCGAGCCCTCACCCCGACCCCTCACCCCGAGCCCTCACCCCGAGCCCTCACCCCGACCCCTCACCCCGACCCCTCACCCCGACCCCTCACCCCGACCCCTCACCCCGAGCCCTCACCCCGAGCCCTCACCCCGACCCCTCACCCCGACCCCTCACCCCGACCCCTCACCCCGACCCCTCACCCCGAGCCCCCACCCCGACCCAAATGTGGCTCTTTGTGAAGCGTCATGTGATGAGATCCCATTTTTCCTCTGTGTGAATTCAAATTACTACTGCTCGTCACGAGTTGAGCGTTTACCCGCGTGTGCCCACGTGTAACCTGGTGTTACCCGCGTGTGTCCGCACAGGAGGGCAGCTGTGGTGCTCGTTGACGCGAGCCGTAGTCGGCGGAGAAGAGCTCGTGAGCTACCGGTTCGGCGGGGCCCGCGGGGGTCCGACCGGCAACGGCGCGCGGGACGGGGGGCCCACCGTGAGGCCGCTCGTGGAGGCTGCGGCGGTGGCGGCGGCACCGGCGTCGTACCCTGAGCTGCGCGCGCCACACACGGTGGTGCTGCTGCCCCAGCAGGCCTGCCTGGCGTCGCTGATGCCCACCGCCATCATCAACAGTACGCGCCCCGCACCACGAATTCGCTCACCCGCCCACTCGCTCGGCCACTCACTCACTCACTCAACTATTAACCCAATCACTCGCCCGCCCGCCCACCCACTAGCTCACCCACCCACTAGATCAACCACCCACTAACTCACCCACCCACTCACTCACTCACCCACTCACTAACCTACCCACTCGCTTACCCACTCCTTCGCTCATCCACCCACCCCCGTGTCCAGCACCCATTAAAACATTTTTAAGTGCGGCCGGGAAATGTGGGATTCATAGTGGCCGTGTCGAGCCAGCACCGCCGATTGCCTGGGCGTGAATCAGGATTTCGGCTGTCCGTCATGACACCGCGTAGCGAGTTGATGGTCTCAGCCTGGTCGGCCATTGGCTGTGAAACAACCCCCAATAGGAGTCACTTGTGCCTCTTCACCCCGTTCTGTGAACCTTCCCACGTCGCCTCCGAGTGAGTGGATACGAGAGGTCACGGGAAGGGGCCACCCGCAAAGCCGAGTCGTCAACATATCCATCGCGGTGGGTACTCGCGTCGACAAGCCAACGGAGCGAGTAATTGGCCAACGTTTCGGGCAGCGGCCCTTGTGCACGGCGGAGAACGGAGCTCCGCGCGCCGACCGAGGTCGGGGCGGCCCGAGGGGCGGCGCGCTTCGCCGCCCGCCGTGCACGGCCACTCCTGCCTGAACAGTCTCCTCCACTTGGCCGTCAGACTCGTGGAGACCGCTCTGAATCCCATCTCGGCAACCGCCATTCCTGCCCCCGCCCTGTCCAATCGCATCTCCGGCACGCTCGCCCGCCACGTTCTCTCGCCGGCCTCCGAGTCGCTTTACCCCGGTGCTCCCCGTCGCACTCGTCCCACGCGTTTGCGGAATCCCACCTCTCCGCTCTCTCCCGCACGCCTGCGTGGCTTCTCGCGTCTCCGCCACGACGTCGGTTCGCTCTAAAACAGAAGTGCCCTGTGCGCCATCTGCTTCGCAGGAAAGCATTTGAGATTTCCGGGAGGACGTTCAACCAGATGGGGCCATCGTGTGCGATGGTTCAAATTTGCAAAAATGGCACCGCACATCACTCATTTGGAATATGCAACATAAACGCTGGGCATGACCCTCCTGAAATAAGCGGAACAGCAGAAACTGGGAGTGCACGGCTGTGATTGGCTGGGTTCGTGGTGGTGGTGGTGACACTGCTGTGTGTGGTTTGTGGCTCTGCAGAAGACCTCTTCCCGTGCAAGTTCTGCGGGATCTGGTACCGCAACGAGCGCAACCTGCAGGCGCACCTCACCTACTACTGCGCCGGGCGCAACAAGACGGGAGGAGGCAGAGCGGCCTCCGACGGGGGCAGTCCCCCCACGTCGCCCACGCACGGGGGAACCCACGCGGGCGCACCCACGCACACGCCCACGACCGTGCACGCGCCCGCTCACACGCCCGCTCACACGCCAACGCCCGTGCACGCGCCCGCTCACACGCCCGCTCACACGCCCGCTCACACGCCCGCTCACACGCCAACGCCCGTGCACGCGCCCGCTCACACGCCCGCTCACACGCCCGCTCACACGCCAACGCCCGTGCACGCGCCCGCTTACACGCCAACGCCCGTGCACACGCCCGTGCACACGCCTACGCACCCGCCCACGCACGTGCCCACACACGCACCCGCTCACACGCCCACGCACGCGCCCAGCAGCTCGCCCACGCACGCATCTGTGCCCGCCGCCACACGCAAGGCGGAGCCCTCCCCCGCTCGCTCGCCAGCAGCTTTGCACGCGGGGACGCACGTGGGGACACACGTGGAGACGCACGTGGGGACGCACGTGGGCACGCACGCGCCTTCCCCCGCGTGCAGCCCCCTCTGCTCTCCCGGCCGCTCGCCGCCGGCCGCAACCCCACCCGCGACCCCGCCCGTGACTCCGCCCGTGACCCCGCCCGTGACCCCGCCCGTGACCCCGCCCGTGACCCCGCTCGCGACCCCGCCCGCGACCCCGCCTACCGCCACGTCCCCGGCCGCCCCCGCCGCCCGGGTCACCCCGGCCACTGGGAGCTGCCCCCCGGGGACGCCGCCCTCCGTGGGCCCCGGCCAACACATGGACTCCGACCCCGGCGCAGGTGAGCAGCGTGGACTCGCACACAGAGACCCATAGACTCACACATAGAGACCCATAGACTCACACATGGAGACCCATAGACTCACACACAGAGACCCATAGACTCACACACAGAGACCCATAGACTCACACATCGAGACCCATAGACTCACACACAGAGACCCATAGACTCACACATAGAGACCCATAGACTCACACATGGAGACCCATAGACTCACACACAGAGACCCATAGACTCACACACAGAGACTCATAGACTCACACATCGAGACCCATAGACTCACACACAGAGACCCATAGACTCACACATAGAGACCCATAGACTCACACATAGAGACCCATAGACTCACACAGAGAGACCCATAGACTCACACACAGAGACCCATAGACTCACACACAGAGACCCATAGACTCCCACATAGAGACCCATAGACTCACACACAGAGACCCATAGACTCACACATAGAGACCCATAGACTCACACACAGAGACCCATAAACTCACACACAGAGACCCATAGACTCATACACAGAGACCCATAGACTCACACATAGAGACCCATAGACTCACACATGGAGACCCATAGACTCACACAGAGACCCATAGACTCACACATCGAGACCCATAGACTCACACACAGAGACCCATAGACTCACACATCGAGATCCAAATACTCACACACAGAGACCCATAGACTCACACACAGAGACCCATAGACCCACACATAGAGACCAAAATACTCACACACAGAGACCCATAGACTCACACATCGAGACCCATAGACTCACACGCAGAGACCCATAGACTCACACATAGAGACCCATAGACTCACACATAGAGACCCATAGACTCACACATAGAGACCCATAGACTCACACATCAAGACGCACGTTCCCCTACCCGGCTAAAGCCTGGCCGAGGGGGCTTGCGCGCTATAATCTGGTATCTGCGCGTTGGGACCCCAGATCCGTGTAGAACTGACACCAGGCGCGTGGATTGGATGTGCATCTTACTCTGGAGAACACGGCGCTTGGCAGCAATAATGGATCGCGGTGGTCGAGTGTGAGGCAATTGTCACGCCCCCCCAGCGGGCAGGAGAGCGCTGGCCGGTACTGAACCCCCCCCCGCCCGCCGCGCTGTTTTCCCCCCCGCAGGGGCGGCGGAAGCGGAATGGAAGATCGAGGGTCCCTCCCCTCGTCCCGCGTCGCCGAGCGCCGGCTTCCGGCCTCAACCGCGCCCTCCGGCCACGCCGCCGGCCACGGCCGATCCGGGCCGGCCTGACCCCCATGCGGGGGCCGGCGACCTCGGCGACCCCGGCGACCCCGGCCGCGCGGCGCCAGACCGCGGGACGATGCGCGGCGGCGGCGGCGACGACGCTCGGCGGGGAACGCCGGACGTGCACCGGCGGGCGGCGGGCGCCAGCGGAGGGGGACGAGGCGAAGGCAACAGAGACGGCGCCGGCCACGAGGGCGGCGCCGGATTCGCGGGAGACGAAGCGGGTCGCGGGTTTAAGCGAAGGCGCGGCGACGAGGAAGAGGAGGAGGAGGGCGCGGAGGAAAGTCGGCTCGCGGACGACGGGAACCGGCGCGTCTGGGACGGTCAAACGGGCGGCGGCGGAGCCGATACAGCGACCGGCGCCATCCGCGTGGTGAAGAGGGAGGCGGGGGCGACGCCTAAAGGCAGCGACGCGGAGGACGATTGTGCGCGAGCGCCGTCCCGCTCGTCCCCGTCAGCTGTCCCCACCGTGAAGCTGGAGCCGCTGAGTCCGCAGCCGGTGGCGTCGCCGGTGCAGCAGCAGGCCAAGGGGCCGAGCGGCGGCGTCGCCCTGGCCTCCGTCTTCCCGCCTCACTACTTCTTCATGCCGCACCTACAGACCACGGACGCGCAGGCCTCTGAGATGCTGGCGCGCATTTCAGAGTTGGCGCACCACCGCCTGCAGCGGCAGGCGTCCGTCGCTTTCCCGGCGCAGACCCATCCGGGCGCCATCGCCGCCACCGCCGGCGGCCCCTTCTTCGCGGCCCGCGGGGCCGGCGGGGGCGTGACGTGCGTCGAGTGCAACATCAGCTTCAGCAGCCTCGACAACTTCATGGTGCACAAGCAGCTCTACTGCGCCTACAGGCAGCAGCGCCAGCAGCAGCAGCCCGTGGGGAACGGCACGGCGAGGGACAGGCCGGGCCGGCAAGCCGGCAAGCCGGCGCACTGCTCCCCCGCCGACAAGAGCGGCTCCCCCAGCCCGACGGTGCCCGCCCGGCAGTCGGCGCCGGCGGTCGCGGACGGAGGCGGCGTCGCCCCCGCCCCGGCGAAGGCGATCAAGGCGGAGCGGGCGGAGGAGCCGGCGCGGGCATCGGGGGACGAGGGGAGGGGCCCCGAGGGATCGCCCCCCTCCGGGGCGGACACGGCCCCCGATGACCCCGCGCGGACGACGTGCGACGCCTGCAACATCACGTTCAGCCGGCGCGAGAACTACGCCGTGCACAAGCGCTACTACTGCGCCACGCGGCACGACCCCCCGCCCAAGCGGCAAGCCCACGGCGGCCGGGCCGCCTCCGCTGCGGCCGCAACCGCGGCCGCCGTGGCGCCAGCGGCGGCGACGGTCGTGGCCATCTCGCAGAACCAGCAGCAGCAGCGAACGCGCAAGAGGCGGCGGGTGTGCGGCGTCGCGCACCCCGAGGCGGCGCCGGGCGGCAGGAGGCTCGCGGACGCGGCCAGCCCGCCCGGCGAGGACGCGGCTAAGCGGCGCCGAGAGGAGCGGACTCCGTCCTCCTGCTCGTCCTCCACGTCGCCGGCAGCCTCCACCGCCTCCTCGTCCTGCAGCCCCCCGCGGTCCACCGCCTCCGCCGCCGCCGCCGCCCCGGGGGTCGGCGCCCACGGGGCGGCGGGGAGCACCGGCGTCGCCCGCCGATCCCCGTACCCATCGCCGCCTCCGCCGCAGGACGCCGACGCCCCCATGGACCTGAGCAGAAAGACGGCGGCGCCGGCGGAGCAGCCCGTGGCTCCGCAACGCTCGCCGGAGACGCCCGCCCGGCTCAGCGACTACCACAAGTGCGCGTCGTGCCAGATCACGTTCAGCCGCCTCGAGAACTACCTGGCGCACAAGCGCTACTACTGTTCCGCCACCACCACCCGGCAGCCGGCGGCCGCCGCCCCGCCCGGCGCGCCGCCGCCGCTGGCGGCCGCGCTGCTGACCGGCAACGGCGCGTCCCCGTTGGGCCCCGGCGTGCCCGTCCTACCTTTCGCTCTGAACTCGGTCGTCGCCGCGCCGGCCGGCAGAACCGCGCCGCGGGGAACGCCGACGGCGGCGCCGGGAGGAGGAGGAGGAGCTCACGGTTGCCTGCTGTGCCCGGAGGTCCCGACGGACCTGGCTCGCTTCCCGGGCCTCGCGCCGCTCGCCGAGACGAAGCCGGCGCTGTGCCCGTACTGCGCCTACGCTTGCGGCTCGGGCGACGGCATGGAGGAGCACCGGCGCCGGCACCACGGGGCCGCCACGCCGGGGCCGCCGCCCGAGGCCCGCGGCTCGCGGTCGCCCACGCCGCCGGGACGCGGCGCGGACGGGGCCGCGGGAGACGACGCGGACGGTGCCGCGGAGGGGCCCGCGATCGCCTCCGCCTCGCCCGGACCGCCCGCGCCCAGCCCACGCCCAGCCCCGGCCGGGCGGGGCGGCTCGCCGGCGCCGGCGCTCGGCCCCCCGCACGCGCCGGGCAAGGCGGCGGCTGAGCCGCCGGCGCTGGCGAACGGCGGCGGTGGCGGCAAGTACTGCCGCCTGTGCGACATCCAGTTCAGTAGCCTGTCCAACTTCATCGCTCACAAGAAGTTCTACTGCGCCTCTCACGCCGCCGAGCACCACGCCGTCAAGTGAGGGCCCGCGCCGGCGGCGCCGACCGCGCCAAGCCGTTCCGCCGGGGCCCCGGGGCGCCCGATCGACGGTGGCGGGGAGGAGGCGGCGCGGGGGTCGACGGGCGGCGGAGGGGGAAGCCCTCTCGCCGCGGGGAGCGATTATTTATTTGTCTCCGCGCGCTCCCCGGACGCGCCGCCTCCCGACGGACGCGCACGCCGATGGCAAGATTCTGCCGAGTCGTTGTGAGCAGGCGGGGGGGGGGCGGCAAGAGGAGGGGGAAAGAGCGGGAGGCTCCCACGGCGATCGATACGTGCGGCGGCGGCGGCGGTGACAGCGCCGTCGCAGCTGACGCGGCCGCCAGATAAGAGGTCACCACGCGGCGTCCATCGCTAGGGGGGGTGGGGGCCACGTCCACCGCCGAGGTCGATACGTCCACCCGTGGCGAGCGTTGGCGTCCATCGGCGTGTGGAGCTGTGGCCGCCGGAGCCGAGTGGAGGAGGCCGGCGCCGGTCTCTGACCGCACCCCGTGCTGCCCCCCTTGGCTCGCACGGGATGAGTTCATCACCCTCTCGCTGAGCAGACTAACATTGGACTAGCCACCTTGGCCTAGGGCTCAAGGTGAGGGTTTAGAGCTCGGGGCTTAGGGCTGTGATTTGCCCAGGGCTGGAGTTGGAGGTTAGAGTTGGAGCGTGGGATGTTGGCAGGGGTAAGTTGTGGTCATGGCTAGGTTAGGGTTATGATTAGCGGTAGGGTTAGTGGCTAGGGTTAATGGTTAGGGTTATGATTAGCGGTAGGGGTAGCAGTTAGGGTTAACGGTTAGGGTTATTCTTAGCGGTAGGGGTAGCAGTTAGAGTTAATGGTTAGGGTTATGATTAGCGGTAGGGTTAGCGGTTAGGGTTAGTGTCTCGGGTTAGGATTAGCGGTAGGATTGTCGGGTAGGGTTAGCGGTGAGGGTGTGCTCACACAGGCCTTGCTGGGTATCCGCGTGAGAGGCTGGAGACCTTCGCTCGGCCTAACCCAGCACTCTGAGGCGGCGTGCCGGCGTGAGGGGACGAGAGCGCGATGGGCACGGGAGAGACGCCTCCGGAGTGGGGTACAAGAGGTATTCTCGAGTCCGTCGGACCGATTCATTTTTCACGACTTTGTGGGTTTTTTGTTGTTCCACTTGCATGAAGAGCGCTTATTTGAGCCACAAATAATCACTGGAAACCAGCGACACCCCCCCCCCCATCGATTACACAGCCCCCCCCCCCTCTTGAATTGACAAGCCCCCCCTCACCCGCTCGCGCCCCGCTCGGAGGCTCTCGGGAAGAGACGGGATGGAGCCGTTTCACGGCGGATGCGAATGACCAATGCACTGACGATGCGGTACCAGCCGTGCCGGGGGGACCGGGGTAGTCCGGCTCCCAGTGGACTGGCTCCGCGCCGGGGTTTCTTCATCGCCGCAGCACCGGCAGCAGCAGCGTACCCCCCCCCCCTCCCCCCAACTACAGACTGCTACCCCGTACAGCTCTGCCGGTGCAGTGAACAACACGCGACCCGGACTTTGGCTCCAGATGGACCAGGATCCACAAGCAAAAGCCTGCCACCTCACGGCCTCTTCCTGGAGCTGGCCATGGTGAGCCGAGGGCACGAGGCAGAGTTCAGCGGGAGCTCTGCTCATCTCGACTTGCTCACACGGAATACGGAGAGAGAGGTTCGAAGAAGAAGAAGCTGTGACGATGGCGATGGCGACGACGACGGTGGTGGTGGTGGTGTCAGGCCTGGGTCTTTGTGTCCACGCCCGGGTGGGTGGGTGTCTGAACCCTGGGTCTGGTGTTGAACCCGGAGTTATTTTGCTGGTGGAGCCCCATTCGAAGTCCTCGTGTGTCCCCCCCTCTCGCTGTCGTTCCCCGCGGGTTCTCCACAGCCGGCGGGCAGCCTGTGTCGGGTTGTTGAATGCGTCTGGGAGCGAGTGCGGAATTCAATGTCTGTGGAAGCTTAACGGATAGTGGTTGATTGTGTGTATATGCGCGTGTGTGTATGTGTGTATGGTGGGGAGTAGTAGTGTAGCGGTTAGCGCGCTGCGCTATGAACCTGGCAACCCGGGTTCGATTCCCGCTCACGGCCAACACCAGTGCAGTGACGATTATCTGAACCGGTCCTGGGCCTCCCCTAGGTCGACTCAGTCTCAAATGAGTACCTGGAGCAGTGTGTAAACATCGCCACTGGGGAGACAAAGGCGGTCGGGCGTGGTGCTGGCCACCCACCCCCTTTGTACCGTTTTGGCCTTCATAGGTGCTCGCTAACAGCACTTGTCCCTACAGTCTGACAGGCTACACGGGAGATCTTTGTTTTGTGTATGCGCGTGCATGTTGTGTATTTGTGTGTATGCGCGTGCGCGTTGTGTATATATGCGCACGTGTGTGTATATATGTGTGTGCGTGTTGTGTGTGTATTTTGTGTGTGTAAGTGTGTTTATGTTATTGTACGGTATTTTGTGCCATAAAACACTCCACCCCCTCAACTCCTCATTGATGTTGGGGAAATTGCGGAGAGAGTGGAGAATTTTCCATACTTGGGCAGTGTGCTTATGACTAGCTCTGGTTTTACAGCAGAGGTCTCACTCCGAATCAGTCAAGCGGCATCTTTTCATCAGCTGCGCATTGCTTTGTGGAAGCTACCTGGTCTGTCGCTCCGCACGAAGCTCCGGGTCTTTTCGGCCACGGTCATTCCCTCCCTTTTCTGTGCTTGCGAAACTTTGACTACCCCCCCCCCCCTCCAATGGAACATCGCCAGTAAGCAACATTCATGCCGACCTGTCTACCGTCCATCCTTTGGTTTAACCAGACTGGATTGTGTGAGGAGCTCGCAGATCAATGAAAGATCTGGACAAAGTCCCATCGGTGAGCTCCTCCGGCAGGCAAGGCTGCGTTGGCTGGGTCATGTAGCCCGCATGCCCAGCCACCGCATGCCTCAACAGCTTTTGTTCGACCAGATCGAGGGGGCTAAATGGGCGCGGCACGGGCTAGAGGAGAGATGGAGTGATGTGGTACAGGAGGACGTGGAGCTGAGTGGACTAGCCAATGACTGGTACCAGCGGTGTCAAGATCGGCCTCTGTGGAGGAGGCTCGTGAAGGACGCTACTGGCAAGTTGGAGGCAGGAGCAGTGCTCACAACAACGAGCGGAGCGCCGGGCAGCTAAAACACAGCATGGTTAGCACAGTAGGGGGCACAGGTGGTGCATCGGCCAGCCATCTCAGTCGACCCGTGTCACCTGGGTCTGTCCCGTGACCTGCCAGCGGGCGTTCGACAATTCACGTGGCCTTAAAGTGCACGGAGGCCGGCACAAGCGCCGTGGTGACGTCACTTCTACTTAGTGATGAATGGCGGTTGTGTGTATGAGTGTGTATGTTGAGTGTGTGTGTATGTGAGTGTGTATGTGTGTGTATGTGAGCGTGTATGTGAGCGTGTATGTGTGTGTGTATTTGAGCGTGTATGTGTGTGAGTGTATGTATGTGAGTGATGTTGCTGTCTGCCCCCCAGCCTGTGTTTTTTTGTCTTCACGCAGAGTCAGGCGCCCCCTTGTGCCGGCAGCCAGAGACCCCTCCCCCTCCCTCCCCCTACCGGGCCCCTAAACCACGGAGTCTGGGGGGGGGGTCATCACTTGACCTTCACCCCCCCTGCCCCTCCCTACAGCACTTGCGCGGCACAAGCCGCCTCCTCCCCCCCGTCCTCCCTGCACCCCCCGCACGGACGCACGTGTGGTGGTGGTGGACCACAGCGCGCCTCTCCTCTTTGTATACAAAAACCCTTTACACGTAAATAAACACCTCTGTGCCAGGCACCGTCGCTGTCTCGGCGTCTGTGGAGTTGGTGAGGGTGTGTGGGGGGTGGTGGTGGTGAGGGTGTGTGGGGTGGTGGTGGTGGGGGTGGAGGTGGTGAGGGTGTGGGGGGTGTGTGGGGGGTGGTGTGGGTGGGTGGGGGTGGAGGTGGTGGTGAGGGTGTGGGGGGTGTGTGGGGGGGTGGTGGTGGTGAGGGTGTGGGGGGTGTGTGGGGGGGTGGTGGTGGTGAGGGTGTGGGGGGGGGTGTGGGGTGGGGGTGGCGGTGGTGAGGGTGTGGGGGGTGTGTGGGGGGTGGTGTGGGTGGGTGGGGGTGGAGGTGGTGGTGAGGGTGTGGGGGGTGTGTGGGGGGGTGGTGGTGGTGAGGGTGTGGGGGGTGTGTGGGGGGGTGGTGGTGGTGAGGGTGTGGGGGGGGTGTGTGGGGTGGGGGTGGAGGTGGTAGGGGTGGTGGTGGAGGTGGTGAGGGTGTGTGGGGTGGTGGTGGTGGAGTTGGTGAGGGTGTGTGGGGGTGGAGGTGGTGAAGGTGTGGGGGGTGTGTGGGGTGGTGGTGGAGGGGGTGTGGGGGGTGTGTGGGGGGGGGGGCTTCCGCCCCCTCGTGCTGCAGGAGGCCGCTGGCTCTCGTCGAGCTCCCTCACCTGGGGGAGCGAGAACCCCACGTGACTTCGAGAACCCCACGTGACTTCGAATCTAAACTCGCTGAACACGTTTTTATTGATTATTTGACCAGGTAAGGCTCCCAACGGAGCTGTTATTGCTCTTTTTTTCAGAAGCGACCTGGCCACAAATGATAGCCCAACGAAGTGGCGTATCGCGTGGACATGTATAGCAGAAGACAAATACTCTAGACGCGTGGTGATGTGGATTCTAAATGTGGAGGGGAAAACCGGAGGACCCGGATAAAAACCCACACGACCACGGGAGAGAACTCCGAATATACAGCAGCAGCAGGCGTCAGGGTCGGGATCGGGATCGAACCCACGACTCGCTGTAGACCAGGCGAGTCAATTAACATCTGGCCACTGTGGCGCCTGACAATCGCCGGCGGAGGGGGCGAGCGATGCCCACGGGACGTCTCCGTCGGCCCAGGCCCAACGTGGCGCAGCAGCGTGGAGCAGCAGCCCCGGAGCGCACTGCGGCTTCCCCGACCTCTCCCCGTTCTGCTCGGGCTCACTGGGGGAGATCTCGGGCTCACTGGAGGAGATTCCGACCCCCCCCCCCCCCCCCCCCCCCTGGGGTCGGCGCGGCTTTAACGTCTCGCGCCTCGCAGCAAGAAAAGCCTGGGTTCGATTCCCCCGACTGGAACGCCTTTGTGCGTGGAGTTTCCGTGTCTGCTCCCCTGTTCTGCGTGGGTGTGTGACTGAGCGTTGAGTGTAAAGAGAGCGGTGGCGCAGTGGTTACCGTGCCGCGCTATGAACACCGGACACCCGAGTTCGATTCCCCGCTAACGGCCAACAGCTCCTGGGTCTCCCCCTAGGTCGACTCAGCCTCAGATGAGTTCGTGGTGCAATGTGTAAATATCAGCAACTGATGAGAAAGGCAGTCGGGCGTGGTGCCATGTGGGTCTTCATAGGCGCTGCTCGCTCACAGCACTTGCCTCCAGCGCCTTTGTCTTTGAGTGAGTGTAAGGAGTTTGTGTTCTTGCATGGGTTTCCTCTGGGTTCTCCAGTTTCCTCCCATAGCTCTACCACACAATGTAACTGCAAATTGGGCTAAACAACATCGCAGTGCTGAAAACATGTTACCTGCAAATCACTAATTTGGCGTCGCACACAGCAGCAGCAACAAACCCCCTACCCGCTCCACGACACAATCATTGGCAAGACTCCCCTGACAAGGCCCTGAGACTCGACAAGGCTTTCCCGGGTGAACACGAGGAATCAAAAATCATGAATGCCTCGTGGAACCTGGGGCCCACGGGGCTCCCGCAGTGTCAGTAACCTTCACCAACACCAGAGGGCGCCCTCACCCCACGCTCTCTCTCTCACCCCACGCTCTCTCTTTTTTACGATCAGTGGAAACAAGAATATGCTCGGTGTATTCGGCACTTTGTTTCGTTCATCATTTCGTAAAAAAAATTTTTTAACGGGATTTATGTAACCCTCGCTCGCTCTCTCTCTCGCTCATTCTCTCGGTCACTCTCTCGTTCTGTACGTAGCCCCCTCGCAGTCCGACGGCCTCCGACGGGTAGCTCATAACAGCATGCAGAGCTCCCCGTCATCTGCCACCGAGCACACGGCCTCCTCCATCGCCCACTGCTCCTTGAAGGCCGGCACGGCGTGGGTCAGCCGCGCATGGCGGAACTCCAGCCCACACACCCTGGCTCCGACCAGAGCGCGGAAGATGCCCAGGCTGCTGGCCGGACGTTTCCCCTCCAGGGCCATCTCCCTCTCTCTCGCCCCTCTCTCTCACCCCGCGCTCTCTCTCACCCAGCGCTCTCTCACCCCACGCCATCTCACTCACCCCACGCCCTCTCACTCACCCCACGCTCTCTCTCCCCACGCTCTCTCTCCCTACGCTCTCTCCCCGCGCTCTCTCCCCACGCTCTCTCCACGCTCTCTCTCCCCACGCTCTATCTCCATCTCCACGCTCTCTCTCCCCACGTTCTCCCCACGCTATCTCTCCCTACGCCCTCTCCCCACGCTCTCTCTCTCCACGCTCTCTCTCTCTCCACGCTCTCTTTCTCTCCACGCTCTCTCTCCACGCTCTCTCTCTCCACGCTCTCTCCCCACGTTCTCTCCCCACGCCCTCTCCACGCTCTCTCCCCACTCTCTCTCTCCACGCTCTCCCCACGCTCTCACCCCATGCTCTCTCCCCACGCTCTCTCCCCACGCTCTCACCCCACGCTCTCTCTCTCCACGCTCTCTCTCTCTCCACGCTCTCTCTCCCCACGCTCTCTCTCCCCATGCGCTCTCTCCTCTCCTCGTGGTCCCTGCCGCGCCGGCCACCGGCTGTGAGCGCACGTGGAGCCGCGTCGAGTGCACGAACCGACCAATCCACTGCTGGATGAAGGCTCCCCCCCCGCCCAACGAGTCGCCGTGTCTTACGGTCCAGCCAACCCCACCTCGCACCCGATCTCATTTCGTTGCTCCATCTCTGCGGCGCGCGTTCTCTATCGGGCCGAGTTGTTCGTCTCGGCCAATCGGCTGTCGGCATCTCTTCTGGCCGTGACGAGTCCTGCCCAAACCAACTCGCTTCTCTTCACAACTAGCGCGATGCTTGAACCCTCTAATCCACGTCTTCCTCTAATCCACGTGCTCACACCTTCCTGTCTCTCGGTGTCATTCCAAGCACGCGCCTCTGCGTGATGGCGAGGGGAGTGAGAGACTCACTGGCGGGAGGGGTCCCCGCGTCAAGACTCTTTGGCAGATTCGCTTCGCAGGGAGCGATGTGCGCGCGAGAGGAAACCCGAGCACACGGAGAAGTCTCGCCGCGCACAGCGAGATGACCAACTATCGACGGTCTGCTAGCTCCGCAGACGGGAGCACGAGCCCGCTTGCTGTACTGCCACCTTCGCGGTCCCTTTGCCGCCCAGAGCTTGACCGGTGGCCACGTGATCCACCGACACTTGCATCCGCGGCGCTGGAGGTGTCCCCTCCTCTTAAACCGTCACTCCACATTCCCATGGCGACTAACAGGTAGCAGGCCCCGATCTCGAGTAGTCGTCCCGGAAAGCGCTGCGAGATGCTGGGTGGTCCCTCGGGTGCTGCGGTGGCGAGATGCGAACGACTTCGCCTGATGTCGAGGAGGTCATGGGTTTGTTCCCGACCCTGACGCCTGTTGTCATTTTGAAGTTTGCGTGTCTCTCTCTCTCCCCGTGGTCGCATGGATTTTTTTTCCAGGTCCTCCCTTCACATTGAGAATCGTGCGTTTAGATTATTTGGCCGCTTTCATTCTCCACACGATGATGATGATGAGCTGCTGCTGCTTCATTGGGCTGTCATCTGTGGCCAGGTCGCTTCTGGAAAAGGGCCGTAGAGCTCAGTACGCAAAACATTGTCTCGAAGTTTAATACTCTAGCTTTGATCGTGATGCGTGGAGCTTAGTTATTCATTCAATCATCAAGTGCACGTCATCAAACACCTTATTGTGCCATTTTCGATCACTATCATCAGTCTTTACCATCTGTCATCGTATCGTCGCTTCATCACCATCACTACATCGTCAGCATCGTTTCGTAATCTTCATCAAACGTCACCATTGGCCATCATCGTAATCACACCCTCGTCATCGACACCACTGTTATCGTGTTGCCATGTCCATCAATCATCAACAATCATCATATCATCAGTAATCTTTATCATCATCGTGTCATCAATCACCTCACCATCATCACCAACACCACCATCACCTCACCATCATCACCAACACCACCATCACCTCACCATCATCACCTCACCATCATCACCTCACCATCATCACCTCACCATCATCACCTCACCATCATCACCAACACCATCATCACCTCACCATCGTCACCAACACCATCATCACCTCACCATCATCACCAACACCATCATCACCTCACCATCATCACCAACACCATCATCACCTCACCATCATCACCAACACCATCATCACCTCACCATCATCACCAACACCATCATTACCTCACCATCATCACCAACACCATCATCATCGCCTCGCTCTCGTCAGGTGAACTCCTCATGAGTCCGTGGTCCTCCCAGAGGGGGTCACCGCCGCTCATTTCGAATGCGCCGGGCGCTCTCTCGCTTCGCGCCCCTACTAAGATATTTGGGGGGGCGAGCGGGATGGGTGGGGGGTTATTTTGGTGCGCCCCGGGTCCCTGAGTGATGTACCGGCCCCCCGCTGTGCGCATGCGCGGCCCGGCTCTTTATTGGAGCGCGGCGTGAGCGGCGCGCGCCGCACTTCAGCACCTTCCGCGTGGACAGCGCCCACCGTGCCCGGGCGGAGCCCCCCCCCCCCTCTCTCCACACGAGCCCTGCCACCCCACGGTAAGCTGGGGGGGGTGCGAGCCCCCTACGGATTCTACCCCTCGCTGAGATCCTGGCGGGGGGGGGGGGGGATAGGGGGGGCGGGAAGATGGGGGGGGGGGGTCGTCTCTACTCCGGAGCTGCGAAGTTTCGCTGAGACGCGCGCAGGGCGTTGTGCGAGGGGTCCTCGGAGCCAGGGGGTCCGGGCTCGGGTCCGGGTCAGAGCTCGGGGCGGTTTGGGCTCGGGGCGGTCTGGGCAGGGCACAGGCGATGCTGTAAGCCGGAGGCTTCGCTCAGAATGAGCTCTCGACGTGGCCTTTGCCCGCACCTGTAGCTCCCGCACGTCTGTGTGCGCGTGTCTACGCGAGCCTCTGTGCGTCTTCGCGTGTATCTGTGTGTGTGTTTGTTTGTCTGTGTGTGTGTCTGTGTGTGTCTGTGTGTGTCTGTGTGTGTGTCTATGTGTCTGTGTGTCTGTGTGTGTGTCTGTGTGTGTGTCTGTGTGTATCTCTGTGTATGTCTGTGTGTGTGTCTGTGTGTGTGTCTGTGTGTGTGTCTGTCTGTGTCTCTCTCTGTGTGCGTCTCCGTGTGTGTCTCTGTGTGTGTCTCTGTGTGCGTCTGTCTGTCTCCGTGTGTCTCCGTGTGTCTCTGTGTGCGTACGGGGAGCGGTGGTGCAGCGGTTTGCGCACTGTGCTAAGAACCCAGCGACGCAAGTACGATTCCCTCTCACGGCCAACACCACTGATGATTATCTGAACCGGTCCTGGGTCTCTTCTACGTCGACTCGGCCTCAAATTAATACCCGGTGTGGTGTGTAAATATCACCACCGGGAAGACAAAGGCGGCCGGGGGTGTTGCTGGCTACCCTCTGATGAGCACAGTTGGCTACGTATCGTACAAAATAAGTTCAGCGCTCCTCTACGTGCCATGCAGGGCTTCAAAGGTGCTCGTGAACAGCACTTGCTCCAACAGTCTTTCAAGCGATGCGGGGATATTTGTTTGTGTTGTGTGTGTGGCTTTGTGCATGTGTGGTGTGAACGCGTAGGGAGCGGTGGCGCAAGTGCTTAGCGCAATTCACGAGGAAGCCGGCGAGACGAGTTCGACTCTCTGACACGGCTAACATCAGTGGCGAGTGGTCTGAAATGAGAGCACCTGGTGAGATGTGTGAAACAGTGGGAAGACAAAGGCGGACATCACTCACCCCGACGTCACTAACCCCGACATCACAAACCCCGACGTGTGTAGGTGTGTGTGTGTAGGTGTGTGTAGGTGTGTGTAGGGGTGTAGGTGTGTGTGTAGATGTGTGTGTAGGGGTGTAGGTGTTTGTGTGTAAGTGTGTGTGTGTAGGTGTGTGTAGGTGTGTGTGTGTAGGTGTGTAGGTGTGTGTGTGTGTAGGTGTGCGTGTAGGTGTGTGTAGGTGTGTGTAGGTGTATGTGTGTGTGTAGGTGTGTGTGTGTAGGTGTATGTGTGTGTGTGTGTAGGTGTGTGTGTGTAGGTGTGTGTGTGTAGGTGGGGAGCGGTGACGCGGCGGTCAGTGCGCTGCGCTCCAAACCAGGCGACCCGAGTTTGGTTCCCGCTCATGGCCCATTGCCGATTATCTGAACCGGTCCTGGGCATCCCCTAGGTCGACTCAGCCATGAATGAGTATGCTGTGAAAAGTGTAAACATCAGCACTGGAGAGACAAAGGCGGCCGTGGACGGTTCTGGCCTCAAACGCCGTCGCGTGCCATGCGCGTGTCATGCGTGTGCCATGCGTGTGTCATGCGTATGCCATGCGTGTTATAGAGGACTTGCACCAAGAGTCTGTTAAGGCGACACGGGGGATATTTGCCTTGTGGTGCGCATGCGTGCGTATTAATGCGACTTTGTGAGCAAAGACAAACATCCCCCAGAGAGACTGTTGGGGCAAGTGGTGTTAGCGAGCACCTATTAAGGCTGTCACGGCACACGAGGGGGTGGGCGGGCGACACCACGCCCCCCCCCCCGCCTTTGTCTCCACAGTGCTGACGTTCACATATCGCACTGTAGTAGTTTCAGGCTGAGCCGACCTAGGGGAAGCCCAAGGCGGGTTTAAATATTCGCCGCTGTTTAATGGTTCGTGAGCGGAAGTCGAATTTGTATCGCCGAGTTCGTAGCTAAGCGCGATCACCGCTGCACCACCGCTCTGGGCGCGTGCGCACAGGGGCCGCTGTCGGGTCGAGGTCGCACGAAATGAATCCGCTTTGCTTCCTGCGCACAGCCACCTGCAGCTCTGTGGCTTGAGCCCCTTCGAGCGCGCTCTGCGAGGTGAGGCACCCAGGCGGGGTGCCGAGGAGGACCAGGGGGCTCCAGGGGACGCCAGGGGAGGGTCACCGCGAGACCGCGCGGCAGCATGGGGCGCGTGGTCGAGTGGAGCGCGCAGCCGCCGACTCTGAACGTCACCTTCGGCCATCACCTCCAGATGCTGCTACTGCTGCAGCAGCAGCAGGTGAACGCCTCCTCCAACGGCACGGGCGGCGGCACGCAGCAGCAGCCGCAGCGGCTCTCGCTCGAGTTCCAGGTGGTGAGCGCGCTGCTGGTGCTGCTCGTGTGCGCCGCGGGCATCGTGGGCAACGCCATGGTGGTGGTCGTGGTGCTGACCACGCGCGCCATGCGCACGCCCACCAACTGCTACCTCGTGAGTCTGGCGGTGGCCGACCTCACGGTGCTGGTGAGCGCGGGGCTGCCCAACGTGGCCGAGAGCCTGGCGGGAACCTACGTGTTCGGCCAGGCTGGCTGCCTCTCCATCACCTACCTGCAGTACCTGGGCATCAACGCCTCCTCGTGCTCCATCACGGCGTTCACGGCGGAGCGCTACATCGCCATCTGCCACCCGATCCGCGCGCAGTTCCTGTGCACGGCGAGCCGCGCCAGGAAGATCATCGCGCTCGTGTGGGCCTTCACGGCGCTCTACTGCGTCGTCTGGTTCTTCCTCGTTGACCTCCAGCGGGAGGAGGCCACGGGCGGCCTCTACTGCGGCTACCGCGTGTCGCGTCGCCTCTACCTCCCCATCTACCTAATCGACTTCGCCATCTTCTTCGCGCTGCCGCTGGCGCTCGCCACGGCGCTCTACGCGCTCATCGGGCGCGTCCTCTTCATGAGCCCCATGCCCTCCAAGGGGCCCGGGGACACCGCCGCGCAGCGCTGGGGGCCCGCGGACGCAGCGGCTGGCGGCGCTGGAGCGGCCGGGCAGGCGGGGCGGCTGCTGCTGCTGTGCAGCAGCCGGCGCTCCAAGTCGGCGCTCGCGTCGCGCAAGCAGGTGCGCCCGGACACGCCGTGCTCCTGCTGCTCCTGCTGCTGCTGCTGCTGGTGGAGGTGGTGGTGGTGGTGAGGTGGTGATGGCATATGCGGTAGTGCTCGCGATGACGATGGTAGTTGTCAAATGTGGTGCTGGTGGTGATGCTGATGGTGATGATGGTTGTTATGATGATGTCATATGTGGTGATGGTGATGATGGTAGTTATAATGATGTCATAGGTGCTGGTGGTCTTGATGATTGTTATGATGCCATATGCGGTGATGATGTTTGTGACGGTGATGATGATGTCATATGTGATGATGTCCGTGATGATGTCGATGTTCCCAGGTGGTGAAGATGCTGGCCGTGGTGGTGGCGCTGTTCGCGCTGCTCTGGACGCCCTATCGCACCCTGGTGCTCGTCAACTCCTTCCTGTCGCCCCCGTACGCCGACTCGTGGTTCGTGCTCTGCTGCCGCCTCTGCGTCTACCTCAACTCGGCGTGCAACCCCGTGGTCTACAGCCTCATGTCGCAGAAGTTCCGCGCCGCCTTCCGCAAGCTCTGCGCGTGCCCGTGGCGGCGCGTGTGCCCGCCGTGCCCTCCGGGCGGCGGGGGCCCCGGGGCCCGCGGGGCCCGCGGGGCAGCGAGCGCGGCTGGTGGCCGAGGAGGCCCGAGGGCTCGCGGGCGAGATGAGGAGGATGAGGAGGAGGGGCGGGGGAGGGGAGGTCGCGCGCCACGGGGGGTTAGCGCGTGCGCCGCACACGGGAACGGGATCGGGGTCACGTGCGTGACCTTCGGCGAGCGAGACACGGGGGACGTGGAGGTCACGACCTTTAGCATCGCCTAGAGATGAGGTCGCGACCTCCAGGCTCACCCACAGGCGAGGTGACGACCTCGAGGGTCATCTTGAGTCGAGGTTACCGCCTTGACGGTCATCTTGAGTTGAGGTCATGTGACCTTGAGCGTCATCTTGAGTTGAGGCCATGTGACCTTGAGCATCATCTGGAGTCGAGGTCACGACCTTGACGGTCATCTTGAGTTGAGGTCATGACTTTGAGCGGCATCAGCAGCAGCAGCATTAGCAGCAGCAGCATCAGCAGCTGCAGCATCAGCAGCAGCATCAGCAGCAGCATCAGCAGCAGCATCAGCAGCAGTTGCCACTGCTGATGCGGGCTAACTCTGCACTGCGGTTGTCGCGGAGTGACTCCACCTCTGGAATTCCAAATCAACCTCGAGCGGGGCGGTGGGAGTTGGTGGTGGGGGGCCGGGGGGGGGGGCGCGGTTAAACCGGTAACGGAGCGGTTAATCGGGTAACTGCTTCTCCTTCAAGGTTTATTTCGGATGGAATATCAATCACTCCAAACATTGTACAATGTAAAAGATGAAATCAGCTAAAATGTGGATCTCTAAAGCACACTGAAGGGAGAGCAATGAGGAGGAGGGGGGGAGGAGAGGGGAAGAAAGGAGGGGAGGGGGGAAGGAGGGGAGGGGGTGGGAGGGAATGAGGGAAGGGGGTTGGAGGGGGGAAGGTCTTTGCATCCGGCCCCGAGGCTAATCGACGGGGACGGGGACACGAGGCGCTCCGTGCGTCCCCCTCCCCCGTGCCATCGGCACCGCGGCGCCTGCCGTGCGCGGTGCCGGCCAAGAGGCAGCGGCAACTCCGTGTCCGCTCGGGGTGGTCAGACCACGGAACGGCCACGCTCCGTGCCCCCCCCCCCCCACCCCCCACAACGTAGTCCGGTAACCTGTCTGGTGTTTAGGTTCACTGTGGACTCGATGTCACCAACGCCAGGGCAAGCTCTGCTCGGCGCCGTGGTGCGCTCAAGGCACGGAGATGCGGCTCGCGAGCTTCGTCATCGGTGCCTTCGAGTCGAGACCGTGTCGACCCCCGTCTCTCCCCGGGACAAGGACCTCGATGTCGGGCGTCGTGACGGCCAGGGCTCTCGCGGTCGCAGCCGACTGCGTCTAGGCGGGGAGCCGCACGCCTCTTCTACGGCGGTCACGGACTTGACGAGACGGCTGATTCCCCCCCCCCCGCCCCTGAGGATGACGCGTATCCAGGAGCGATGTGGGCCGACGGCTTCTCGGCAAAGTTTGCCCGGTTCGAGTATGGCCTTGCTTTTGGCGTGCGTCCAGATTCCGAGGTTTTGGTTTGTTACAGTTTGTTTGGCAACCATTGGAATCCGCTGGGAGCCGAGTGATTGAAGAGGTCCCGGGGGGGGGGGCATCTCCACCCCCATCTCAACTCCCATCTCCACCCCCATCACCACCCCCATCTCCACCCTCATCTCCACCCCCATCTCCACCCCCATCTCCACCACCATCTCGACCCCCATCTCCACCCCCATCTCCACCCCATCTCCACCCCCAACTCCACCCCCATCTACACCCCCATCTCCACCCCAACTCCACCCCAACTCCACCCCCATCTCCACCCCATCTCCACCCTCATCTCCACCCCCATCTCCACCCCATCTCGACCCCCATCTCGACCCCCATCTCCACCCCCATCTCCACCCCTATCTCCACCCCCACCTCCACCCTCATCTCCACCCTCATCTCCACCCTCATCTCCACCCTCATCTCCACCCCAACTCCACCCCATCTCCACCCCATCTCCACCCCAACTCCACCCCAACTCCACCCCAACTCCACTCCATCTCCACCCCAACTCAACCCCATCTCCACCCCAACTCCACCCCACCTCCACCCCCATCTCCACCCCATCTCCACCCCCATCTCCACCCGCATCTCCACCCCATCTCCACCCCAACTCCACCCCAGCTCCACCCCATCTCCACCCCAACTCCACCCCAACTCCACCCCAACTCCACTCCATCTCCACCCCAACTCAACCCCATCTCCACCCCAACTCCACCCCACCTCCACCCCCATCTCCACCCCATCTCCACCCCCATCTCCACCCGCATCTCCACCCCATCTCCACCCCACCTCCACCCCAACTCCACCCCCATCTCGACCCCCGCCCTCCTGCACGTCGCCCGTGCTGGCGGCGGTGGGATCCTCCCGTGCAGGGAGCGAGGTCACTGTCCTGCCCAAGTTGACGCGGAATCTCTCGCTCGGGGTTCTGTCGAGTGGCCCGGTCGTTGCTCTCCAGCGGCCTGGAGGCTATGGAGTCGGGCCAGACTATTGGGGTTCCGTATTCAGTCGGAGCAGTGGTTCTTAACCCCCTGGGGGTGCGAGACATGGTGAAATTGATTTTTTAAGATAAATGATCGAAAACACAAATTTGGCACGTAGGTACAAAAATGGCTTTGTTTCACCAAACCCTAAGTGTTTATTAACTTTGTGATTTGTTTAACTATTGAGAACCAAACGGGTGCAGGTTTCGGTGAAGTTTCAAACCCACTGGATGAGTGGCTCTAAGCCTTCCCGGTCTGGCGACTCGCGTACGAACAGCTACCAAAGTGGTTGTACACCTCCCAGAGCCGTGAACTTAACATGACAGTACAATTGCTAATGTGCTTAAACAGTTCACAGCGGTGTTCAATGGTTAACAATGTGGTCATGATTATAACAAAGTGGTTATGATTATAACAATGTGGTTGCTATTATAATGTGGTTATTGTTTACGATGCGCTCTAGCAGTTAAAAACGCGGTAAAACAAAACACGAAAAAACATCATCAGCTCATCAGTGAAAGAACTCGGACGAACGGAGACAAGTCGCGGCCACGAGCAGCAGTGGGGAGCGCGCCGAGGGAGTTCACAGCGCAGGTGGCCGCCACGCGGCTCACGTGGTCACCACTCCGTTCACCCGGAGCCAGCGCTGTGAGCACGCAGCCCATAGCCTCGGTGACCCCCCCCACGCCCCCCCTCCCCCCCATGCCCCCCCTCCCCCCCATACTCCCACGCCCCCCTCCCCCCCATAACCCCCCCTCCCCCCATGCCCCCCACGCCCCCCCCCATGCCTCCCCCCATGCCCCCCTCCCCCCCATTCCTCCCCCCACGCCTCCCCCATAACCCCCCCTCCCATGCCCCCCCTCCCCCCCATGCCCCCCCCCCCCCATGCCCCCCATGCCTCCCCCCCCATGCCCCCCCTCCCCCCCATTCCTCCCCCCCCATGCCTCCCCCCCTCCCCCCCATGCCCCCCCTCCCCCCCCATTCCTCCCCCCCACGCCTCCCCATGCCTCCCCCCCATGCCTCCCCCCCTCCCCCCCATGCCCCCCCTCCCCCCCATTCCTCCCCCCACGCCCCCCCATGCCTCCCCCCATACCCCCGCGCGCCTCCCCAACTGCGCTCGTCGTGTTCACTGATGGACGCGCGAGGCCGCGAGGCTCCGAGTGGGCCGCGTCTGCAGCTCCGTCAAGGCGACCATGACAATGATGACGACGGCTGTGGTGGTGACGACGGCTGTAGTTGTGACGATGACTGAATGTGACGATGATTGCTGTTGTGACGATGACTGAGATTGTGACGGTGGTGGTTGTTGTTGTTGTAACTGTCGCTCGTGGTTCGCGCTGTGGTGTGTCCCCCCGCCATCCCCGCGTCCATCGCTTGCGCAATAAACGGCTGTGCTATACGCGATGGTGGCGATGTTGGTGATGGTGGTGGTGATGGTGGTGGTGGTGATGGTGATGATGGTGGTGATGGTGGTGGTGATGATGGTGGTGGTGTTGGTGGTGATGGTGGTGGTGGTGATGGTGGTGGTGATGGTGGTGGTGTTGGTGGTGATGGTGGTGGTGATGGTGGTGATGGTGGTGGTGATGATGGTGGTGGTGTTGGTGGTGATGGTGGTGGTGGTGATGGTGGTGGTGATGGTGGTGGTGTTGGTGGTGATGGTGGTGATGGTGGTGATTGTGGTGGTGATGATGGTGGTGGTGATGGTGGTGGTGTCGTGGTTAGCGCACCGCGCTACGAGCCTCGGCGAGCACGAGTTCGATTCCTGCTCACGGCCAACACCAGTGACGAATACGTGAACTGGTCCTGGGCCTCCCCGCTAGGTCGACTCAGCCTTAAATGAGTCCCTGGTGCGGCGTGTAGACATCGGCACTGTGGGGGGGGGGGGGGGGCTTCGTAGGTGCTCGCTCCAGGCAGCGCTTGCCCCCCACGCTCTGTTCAAGTCGCGACGGGGGGTCTTGGGTGGGGGTGGCGCGGAGGAGTCGCGGGTTGCACGAGTCGAGGCTCACGTGGCACAAAGCGCCACGCGGCCAGAAACAAACAGCGCCGGCAGAGTTGTAACAGATGAGATTGCAGCACGCTTCTGGAATTCGGCGAGGTCATTGTTGTTCGGGGGGGTTGGGGGGAGAGAGACGGTGGCGACGAGAGGAGTGGTGCGAGGGCTACGCAGCGAGACAAGGGAGGTGACCTACAGAGTGGCGAGTGTTAAGTGCGGGAGTGATTGGGTGGATGGATGTTGTTGTCGCCTGCGGTGCTGGTGGTGGTTGTTGAAACGACACAGTCAGCATGTGGTCGACCGAGTCCTCAACGCGGGTGGAGGAACCAACGAGTGAAGTTCACGGCCACAGGGACCAGAGCGCTTGTGCCAGGCTAGGTGCACCTAGAAGCCAGGTGAAGTGTGGAAGGCAGCTTGGGCTTGCGGTGGCTGGGACACACACACACACAACAACAACAACCACACACACACAATAACAACCGCCATTCGCCACGAAGTGGCGGTGACGTCGCCACGGCCCTTGTGCTAGGCTAGGTGCACGTTGAGGCCACGTGAAGTGGCAAGGAGGTCACGGGGCAGACCCAGCAGGTGCCACGGGTCGACTGAAATGAGCACACAAAGACCCACAGTGACACACGCCGCGTGTGTGGGCGCCGTGTGGCCGTGGAGGATTTCGACTCCATACCCACACACATCGCGTCTGCACAATGC